CCCAAAGCCAGGTCCTGCCAGCTCAGGTGTCGCCCAGATTGACAAGCTCTGTGTCAGATGCTTGGGTCCAGGCCAATCTTATGGTTAAATGAGCTAAGTGAGCATTAAATAGATGGATTATAATTAAGGTGATTGACAGTTTGTCCCTTGTTGCTTCAAGTCAGATTGTGGACTACTTCAGGGAGACCAAGGATAGATAGTAGAACCAAGGACTGAAGCAGAAGATTGAAATAAAGCTATTGTTTTCTGTTTTATTATTATCTGCCAGTAATACTGTCACTCAAAGGGATACATGATGCATCACATCATCACCACAACAAGGAGTACTGTATCTAATGAATTCTGCCTTTGACAGGTAAGAGTTGAAAGACGAAATGATTAAAATATTTGGAATCTGTAATCAGAGATGAATCATAGAGTCTGCAGTCAGGATAATATATGCAACTCATTTTTTTTATAAGAGAAGGCAGAAGAAGATCTTAAAAGGGGATGGTCCAAAGTCATTAAAATAACATAGTCAGGATATACAGAATATCAGAATTACCATTAAATAGTATTTTAAGGAATCATCAACCACATTGTACACTGTAGGAAATTTCATTCTCCTTCCTCCCTTATTCAAAGAATTTGAGGCAGCAGCACCGAGCTTAAGCATAGTAGCAATCACAATTGTTATGAAACCCGCTGTCTGCACATTACTCAAGGAGTAATATGGATATGTATGTGTCTTGCTGTACATGCCGATTCTACACATTGGCAAAACCAAGATTTGTTTTAATATGTTCAAATGTACAAGTACAATATTGAACCCATGTTTTGTTTTTATGAAGCAATGTATTGAAGTGTCTCAGGGACTGAGTTAATTCTTAAAAAGTTAACAAGCAATAAAAGAAAGATATTCAAACCTGTGACCAGTTCTCTGATTTCCAAATCTGTAGTCTTCCGGAGTAATCGTACTAGTGCTGGAATACCCCCACAGTTTTTCAAAGCAATTTTGTTGTCATCATTAGCTTTCCCATATACCAAGTTCCTCAGAGCCCCACAGGCACTACGGTGGACTTCTGTCATTCGATGGTCCAAGAGATCCACCAGTAATTGTATCCCTCCTTGTCTTCTTATCTGCATCAGCAAAAGAAAACCAAAGAAATCAGAAATTAATCCTCAGTGGTGATTCCTTAGTTTTTAGACAGCAATTAGAAGAGAAAATAGAGCAGCCAGCAACAAAAGATGCTGGACTGACTTCCTATAATACCTTTGTAAGCAAAATCTTTTCCAAAAACTCAAGCACTGATCAAAACAGTTGGACAAATTATGAAAAAAGGTATTTGGAAAACAAGTATCCCTCCCTCATGCCATAGATAAAATACTAACAGTTTAAGATGTTATTGTCCAGTGTGTGGAGAAATCTGTCAGTCAGAATTTTTTATCAAGGACGACTGAATGGCATTTCAGTTTCTAACTGCTTACAGTAATTATATACCAATAAATTAGCTTCTGCAAGGCAATTAATTGCAATGAAAAAGTAAAAAAGTCTGTAACATTTGCTTTATAAAAAAGACTGCTATAGCTCGGAAACAACCTTAAATTATACTGTATTCTTTGTTTTGGTTTTGGTCTAGCATTTTTGCAAACCTAAATTATTCAACAAAATATTCCTAAAATTTTGTAATGTTAATATAAATGCACTCAATATAAACATTAAAATGTTTTTTAAAGCAATCTACAGTGCATATTCAGAATGTGTAGAAATTATTAGAACCATAACAGTAAATGAGGTATTAGTTAAAATCAGATTAATTACACTGAAGTCCTATATTCATTTATTTGTTTATACCCCACTTTTATTATTTTTACAAATAGCTCAAAGGAGCAAATGGGCGAATATGCCTGTTCTATGCCCCGTTTCAGTAGAAAGTTGTCTTGTGTCTTAGGTTATGTAAAAGAACAGTTTATGAATATTCTCTGGATTTCAGATCAAAAGCAGACTTGTATACCTTACATGGGCCACAAAGTTCCAGAATCACAAATATTCCCTTACACAGAATTCATTGGTTGGGCTAGACAGTGATCAAATTAATCTAATTTTCAAGTTTTCTTAAAAGACACATTTACATACTCTCCACCTCATTTATTAGATTTGATTCCTGCTAGATACTCCAGGTGGTTTACATGGTGTTGCTTCCTCCTATTTCCCCCAATTACAGGTCACGTTAAGAGACAATGAGTGGTCACAAGTCATGCAGGTGGCTTCTGTGGCTGAGGGTGAACTAGACTCTATGATCCTTCAAGGTTAGTTCAATATTTTATCACTCCACCAACTGACTCACATAAACTCTTTTTATACTGGGCTATCTTAAACAAAAAAGATTGCTCTTATCCATCTTGTTCCAAGGATAGAGCTGTTGTAGTATGGACAAATAAGAGGCAGGAATTTTGATACACACACACAGACACACAAATAATTATTATTAATGACTCAAAAGATAGACAAAAATGCAAAATTCAGTCTAAACATCTGGCTGAATGTGTGATCAACCATAATAATAATAAATGATAGATGAAATGAATGATCTATCATTACCCTTTCCTATATTTTCCTAATAAGATTGTGGCCCCTTTATTATAACATACAGAATCATATTGTACAAAGTAAGCATTCTAATTGGCAGTTTTGGACTATTTATTTAATTAACAGTATTTATCAGCCACTCCAATCTGTACAAACTGGATGAGAAGCAAGAATCAAATATATAGTAAATTAAAGCAATCAATGATATTAATAATAAATGACCTAAGATGATATGGTCAATCACCACTATGGGCTAAAAGCTAGCTGTAACAAATTGATCTTGGAAAACATAAAGGGTTGGGACTATCTGTACTTCTGTATGTAAGATATTCTGTGAAGTAGGATTACTAATGAGAATGCCTGATTACATAAGGGCAAAATATGCACATTTTGAGAACTTAATTTGGAATTTCTGCAGCAAGCAAGAGACAAGGAGTAAAATCTTAGCCACTGTCACCAAATTGTCAGGTGTATGTTTCCTCACCATGGTAGAGTGAATAATCAATAGTTCTTATTGGTTTTATAACATTGTTGAAATTAAAGCAAAGGGTATCATTTTCCATTTATAGAGATTCCTATGCAAATATATACTCCAGGAAAAGTATGTAGTTTTTTTAATGTCCAGAATCATATATAAATATTAGATAATCCATGATCCATTGGGTCATCCTTTTAAAGGTATTTTCTTACTTAAATGGATAAACAGATTCACCACAGGCAAGCAAATAAACATTGGGAGCAAGAGTCACTTCTTCCTGCCAGGTTCTTGTGGGAAGCTGGCAGGGAATGTTGAAAATCACCATATGACTGTGGGTGACTGTGACACTGAAGCAACCAAAACTTTGAGAATAAAATTGTTGTGAAAACCGTTGGAATTTCAATTAAACAGGAATAATGGCTCCCAGAATTTGAATGCCTTTTTAAAGTTAGTAGAGAGTAGTAGATGACAGAAAATCGCTTCTTATAATATTTAAGTTCTTGAGCCTTTCTTTAAGATTGGGGAGGGAGAGGATGAGAGGAAGAGAGAAGGAGCTCTAAAGATAAGAGGGAATTTATGATATCCGGAAAACAAATATCCCACTACTTTTCAAGAATCCTTCTCCAATCCTTCTCTGGTGGTGGAATAATTTTACATTGCCGAGAAGTAAACAAATTACATTCACCTTCTTCTGTCTCCCAATTTCCACCTTTTATTGCTTGTGATAAGTACCAGCCAGGTATTTAACTCATCTTAACTGCCTGAGAATGAATTATAGCTGGGTATGTAAGTGGCTGAGCATATTACAACCTATTTCTTCCATTAATGTTCAGTTACTTGCCTTTGAATGAGCATCAAGGTCACTCATTCCAATTTTAAAAAGGATATGGATCCTTGTTAATCTTTATATTTAAGAAGGAAAGGGGGTTAAAAATCATAATATAGGAAATTATGAAAAAATGAAGAAACAAAAGGAACTTTCAAGTAAAGAACTAATTCCACTGCTTCTTAAATTTCAAAGCACCAACTGAATAAAGTTTCTGTAAGTACAACTATGTTAATTGCAGTTACGGTGTCAACTGAGTTGAATAGGTTTCTCAGGATTCACCCTTTCATTTGATTATGTGTCATCAAGCTGTTTTCACTTCTAGCAATCACATAGATCACAGATGTCAAACTTGTGATGTCATGTTGTCGTCATGTGACATATTGTGACTTCCCCCCTTCACTAAACTGAGGTGGGCCTGGCCAGCGCGTGACGCATCTGGACTGTGGGCCGTGAGTTTGATACCCAACATAGATTTTCTCCAAAACAATCATAATCTGTTCTTTCACAAGGATTCTAATTTCACAAGGATTCACAATGGGCACTCACTATAATTAAATGCTTCCAATTTGCTGTTTCCTCCCTTTCTCCCTGTTGTCCACCCTGCAATATTATTAACAAAATGAGGTTGTTCATAGAGAAGCCAAGATTCCAATGACATATTTATTCCTACTTTACTTTTTCCACTGGTGTAAATAGCTAAAATAACCAGAAATGACAAAATGACAATGTATGATAATTTATAACCATGTCCTTTCAACTGAATCGGCAGTTGAAAGGACATGATTATAAGTTATCATACATTGTCATTGTATATTTTTCATTGAGAATTGTGTCCAGTGCAGGTTCTTAAGTTTTTTGACCACTTCCTCTTGTCTCGAAGATAATAAAATCTTCCTTAGAGTGAGATACAAAGCTTAAAAAACAGAGCTGAGACTTCTAATCTCTTTAGCATTTATATAACGTATAACATTTTACAGTGTTAATTTCCACTAGAATTGTAGGAAAGTGTCACCATTGTGTTACATTTCAAAGAAACTGGTAGGGCTGTGCAAAAGCCTGCAAACCAGATGTTTCATGGTGCAGAGGAGAATTGATGAAGCAGTACGAAGTATTTCTTTAAAACATATTTCTCTGTTTGGTATCACTGCAAATTTCAAACAGCTAGGCAGAGGGCTTTATGCAAAGGGAGATGGTAATTATTCCCAAATAATTAAGCATTCTGTTTTTATTTTACAGATTTTAAATATACTTAAACCCAATCACGTGGCCCTTGCTTAGAATAATTTAGTAGCTTTCTCTCTTGTTAGATTTTTTTTTTATGTATCTCTCTAATAGGGAAAAGAGCTTGAACAATCTCTGGCTGTAAGTCTCAAGAAAGCCATGAAACATTTAGAGATTGATATACTACAATGGAGTACAGAAGAAAATATGTGAAAGCTATTACAAAAGCATCAGCTGGAAAGACAGGAAGGTATGAGATAGAAGCTCGAACTTCATCTGCCTTGTGTCTCTTGGGTATAAGAGAAAGGAAAAAGAAACTGTCACACTTTCCAGATTCTGTTATTATAGTGTGTATCTTTCTTACATTAATTTTATTGAAGATTATAATTTACAACAATACAAACTAAAGAAAAAAGAAAAATAGGTGTAGATAAAATAATATAATAAAGAATAGAAGATACAAAGAAATGTTTTCCCCTTCACCACTATAAACAAATGTTAGTAACTTGTCATTTTCTCTTAAAAATACAATAAATGATCTCTTCTTCTCATATCCCATCTCATCTATAATAAATCCATAACATCTGACATTTCAGTCCTGATCTCAGCAAAAGTCCATTAAGAAAACAACATATCTATTAATCTTAAAATCCAACTTTGTATCGCTTTTATTACCAACTTGATCTTAATTTCTTCAAATTATACCTTAGCCTTGATTTATCTTCATTTTTTTCTTTACCCCTTCTCTCAAAATTATTCAGAGCTTTAATAAGCCAAAGCTTTAATAAGCCAAAGATTTACTAAGGAGGATAATACATGTACATGTATTTCTGTCTTTTGTCCTTTTAATGAACATTTGTCTTTTGTATTTAAAATTTTGTCTATTTTTGTTTTTGTAAGTTTTTTTCTTTTTTCTTTTAGAATTTGTATTTCATCTTAGCTCTCTGAATAAAAGAAAAATTATTTAAAAAGTATTTCCCAAAAAGGTATCTCAACAGATAGAAGAATGTCCTGGAGCCATT